ACTAGGAACTGCCTAATTTCATGGGCGTGCCTTTGTGTCTTAATTCCTTGGATGCTTTCTAAGACACAAGATCCTGCCAAACCCTCTCCCCATTTGCTCTGATAAACTTGCATCCTTCACTGAGACAATCCAGCTAACTTAATCATAGAGCCCAATTGCATCTTCACAATACTTACTAAATCATCCACATCGCCACCTTCCTCTGCCAAATGGGGAGCTTCTGCTGGTTTTTCTTTAGGGGCCAAGAACTGAAAATAAAAGTCATTTAATTATGAAGACAAAATTCAGCACCCCCACCATGAAACGGATGGAAAACTATTTTGATGTTCATAAAATAAACCGCATATGATCTGAAAATTGCAAAAAATTGCAGGATCTAAATAATTACTATGACAGTTTCATCCTATGTCCCATCCTAATCATTAACCTATAACACTTTAAAGTCAAATCCCAGAAAATTTCCTCCATAATAAAACTGTTCAAATTAAGCCTCTGACACAGTTTCCCACCACATCCTCTTAACAAAAGCTGGCGACTGCAGCATTGATGCCTACACAGTCAGATGATGGGTGGCAAACTGGCTGGAGGGCTGCACCGAGAGAGCGGTGGTGGACGGGTCGTTTTCGACCTGGAGGGATGTGGGCAGTGGGGTCCCCCAGGGCTCAGTCCTCGGGCCCGCGCTGTTCAACATCTTCATCAGCGATCTGGATGTGGGCATGCAATGCACACGGCCCAAATTCGCTGATGACACCAAGTTGTGGGGCGAGGTGGGCACGCTGGAGGGGAGGGACCGAATCCAGCTAGATCTAGACAGGTTGCAGAGGTGGGCGGATGAGAATAGGATAGAGTTCAACGCAGACAGGTGCAAGGTGCTGCATCTAGGGAGAAGGAACCAGCAACACACCTATAGGCTGGGGAACACCCTTCTCAAGATGGCAGCAGAAAGGGATCTTGGGAGTTATTGTTGACTCCAGGATGGACATGAGCTGCCAATGCAAGGAAGCCCGCACTGTTCAATTTCTTTATTAGCGATTTGGACGAGGGGGTGAAAAGCACCCTGTTCAAATTCGCTGATGACACCAAGATTTGGGGTGAGGTGGGCATGCTAGAAGGGAGGGACAGGATACAACTGGACCTGGACAGGCTACAGGGGTGGGCGAATCAGAACAGGATGGGATTCAATATTGACAAGTGCAGGGTGCTGCACATGGGGAGGAAGAACCAGCACCATACTTACAGGC